CAAATGGCTGAAGTGTGATTAACACACGTGTTTTAAATTTTAGCTTGTCCCGAAATGAATCCGCAAATTTTTCAGGTATCTAGTGACTGGTCAATAAAGACAATAATTTGTTAGTCCTTAGATCCCAAGTTCGTCTTGGCTAACACCACTGCCCTCCCCAGGGGTCATGCTCCAATGAAGGCCAGGTACTGTTGTGAGGTGTCCCTGACATGGGAAGCGAATTACTCGCTGCGTGAAGGAAAGATAGAATGAACTCTTGCTGACATCACTGGAAACGAAGGCGAAGGATTCGAGGTGTAACTGCCAGAACACGTAGAAGGTAGAGATACATTGCTCTAGTGGAACTGATGCACGTTGCTGGATGGTTGTCATGAAAGCTACCGACTCTGGGATGCCCGTGTCTGACAGTCAAAATGTCATCCCTCCTACTGTCCTGTCGGGATCATCCGGAATTGATCCGTCAGGTGCAGGTACCTTCACGCGTCCACTGCTTCCAACACAATATCTGTAAAACAACCAAATAGACGTACCGCACACCCTGCCTCTGGCAGTCCTATTTTCCAGACTCTTTCAAACTTCATCACTTGTTCATACGTCTCCTCGGACCGCCTGTTATACGCCACAAACTCATTTGAGAAGTTTGTTTTATACGCCACGCGAAAAGCGATGGCACTGCCCTGGTGATAATTTTTCGAAACACCATAAGCGCAGAACCGATCTTGTCTCTTCGTCAGCCATTTTGAAACACAGACATGCCAAAAAAAAAAACGCGGCACACACTACCAACCAACTTAGTTGTTCAATTTCACACGCTTCATATGGTTGCATCTACCATATCCATGACGTTTGGTAAATATATAGTTGACTCAACTAAGTAATTTTGCTACAGCAAACATGTATATGGATTTAAAAAAAAAGGCTTGATTACATTAAAATAGATAAATAGTTAAACATAACAAACACAAAATATATGGTATGATCAAGCAAATATATGTTTGATATTATTTTATATTTCAACAAAATGATATTGTCTAAATAAATAAATAAATAACTATAATTCCTTCAATTATCCAACAACTGATTTAATCATACGTGGTTTTAAACAACAATATAAATGTCAACCTTTCTGGTTTGTTTGTTTAAACTATTTATTTTTCTCAGTGTGAGGTACCTATTTACTGAATCTAGCAGTTACTGAATTGTTTGTATAGGTTGCGCAACTGTGACGTGAACACATATTTAAAGTCAAGCCGACACACGGGGTACCATGATGGAGACATCGATGTAAAGTTTGCAGAGTGATCCATTCCGACATTGTTAACGTATCACTATAAAACACGATTCAAGTAAGCGTGGTCTCGTTCGATCGGGTATACGACTACGATGCGAGCATGACCATAAGTTGGCGCGGCCGATATGCACGGCGACTGGCGGGCAATTTTGGGCGTGGGCTAAAATTTCCGGATGTAGTCCTATATCTCGCGATTGCGATGTGCTAGCGCGCTGAATTTGATGCCAAACGAAATATCCCGTCAATGCGTGTCGATTAAAGCAATAAAGCCAAGTATCTGCTTCGTTACTTTCATTTCATTTCCACGTCACAAAGAATATATTACCTGCCAACACAAATGTATTCACGTAAAATCCTCAGCTGTCACCAAATTTTTATGGCGACGAGTGTATTCATTTTTCTACGAGAGTACGTGAACATATTAAAATATACATCGTTTATATACAGGGATCTGGTGTAATAAAACACGTAGAAAAAATTCCCCCTAGCTTTAAAAAAAAAATAGTACTTCAAGTACATATACCGTGCAACTGTGTTCGCCAGACGCAGCATCGTCGTGAACAGCCAGGGTCAGCAGACCGTGGGTATTATTGGCGCATCTGCCGCGTTGTCACCTCCGCTCCCTTCCCCTACACCACTTCAGGGTTGGAGAAAAGTACAGCGAGAGGTGGTTCTGACGCTCGAGCGGACAGACAACCACGCCTCGGTGGCGAGACTCGTTGCGAAATGTGCCACCGATGGTCCGCTTCAGGGGACATGTCTGCACACAGCACTCACGCAAACACATAGCGAGAGAGAGAGAGAGAGAGAGAGAGAGAGAGAGAGAGAGAGAGAGAGAGAGAAGGAGATGTTAGGGATGTGAGGGAGGTTTGGCAGGGGGCGGTGATGTTGGACGTGGGAATACACAGGCGGATTTGCACGCCCGGCTGGCGAAGCGGATACCAAAAGAGAAGGAAATCCTCTGGCAATATTAAAGACGCTAGTCACAAAAGTTTTATTATTTTATAATTGTGACAAATACTTTTAACATATTTTAATTACTCGCAGAAATATTATCTCGCAAAAAAATATAAGGGACTCCATGTTTTTCACATCACGGTATGTCCAAATCACAATCTTGATGTTTTCGGACGTACAAGTAATAAAAAATAAGAACTAACTCACTCGTAAAAAAAAAAAAAGATAATTCACATTGAAATAAAATAAATGCTATTAGTAGATCCCCGAATATTTCGCGTATTGAGTTGCCAGCAAGCTAGGCTGGACAGCACTCTATACACGCGAGACATTATAGTTTGCTTATTGGTTGCTGTGCTCAAGTTAGGCCTTCGTACAGGACTGTTAAACACTCACTCACACTACTGCCTCCTGCTTGTTACTGGCTGTCAGTTAAACGTAGCGTGTCTAAGCAACTGCCGTCCAATCACAACAGTAGTATAAAAGAACAAGTGTTTGGAGTCTATCTCGCCTCCAAATGAATTCGCGAATTACTCGTGGCTCTAGCTATTAGCTACTTCAAGAATAAGTGTAAGAATAAGCAAATTTGTAAAATATTAAATTTTCTAGTAAATTCATAGTATCACCTGACCGACGCACGAATAATGTGATCAGGTAAATGGTAGTATTGATTTTGCATTTGCTTCACCCTTGAACTTATAGACGCAACAAAATTGGATTTCCAGAAAATATTAAAATTTCCAATAGTTTTAGAAGAAACCCTCCTTGAACAGGGCATAAAGTGCAATATATATTGAGAACTTATGACATAAACAAAGAACACATAAAATATTGAGTTTTTTTTAAATTTATTCATTCAGAAAATAGCATACAGCATTTTATTTTAAAAATTGACTATATGTTTTTTCACAGTAGCAGTTAAATTTTCCCTTTCTCGTTCAAGGAAAACCTGGATACAAAGATATTTTGAGTTTGCCTCAGGCCTTTTACATTTACAAACATTATTTCGGCCAATGCATATAATTTGTTATGCCAACGTTAATGCAGAAGAGTGCAACAATTATAAATAATGGCCAGACTAAATACAAATTATTTTGGCCCACATAGAAAAATTTTAGTTATACGCAATAACAAATATAATGTTTCCTCAGAATTTATTTGATTTTACAAGAACCCACAAATAAGATTATTTGGCCTTTAAAATACAATTTCCATTTATGACATCAATAACAGTTTGAACTATTTTAATTTCCAAAGTTAATTTTGTCACAAAAATAATATCTATTGTGTAGCCAAACTCACAGGTTATGGATAGCATTAAAAATTTATTTGGTTGTCTAATATTATGACTTAACATAGCCAACAGAGGCCAGCCATAAAAGTCTCTTTATTTGATAATGTTAATTACTAACATTTTAAATGTTTAGCTAATTCCTTAGTAAATGGATACTTGAAATAAGTCAATAATTAGCTCCATGGCTGAACAGCGGCCAAAAGTTTCGGAGAGCTAGAATTAATTATTATTTTACTAAATTCCGTTTATATTTGGAACTTCTCAAAACACTTACTAGAAATTACTGGCCGTATGGCCAAACTTAGGCCAACATCTGAGAAAACTGCGCATTAGTTTTCTAATTTACACATATATCTTCATTAGCTCCAGGGAAAACATTAAAATGTCTTTTAAAAAAACCTTATTCTAAAAGTTTTGGTAGGCAACTTTGATGTTGATTTACATTTTATATTTTGCCAAAATGCCAAATTCAAAGTATGCTCATGATAAATTCCGTCATCATGACGCCTACTTGAATTATAAGGGCACCAAGTGTGCCTGATCTAACCCAGCCATGAGGCATAAGTTTAAAGTTACAACATTACGTATTAAGTTTTGGGTTACTTAACTCAGTGCAGGTGGAGCTCCTTCGGGGCGAAGATCGACCCCGAACTGAGCTCATGCACTCCTATTTATACGCCTTTATTATGGTCAATGAAAGACAAATAACAAAAAAAAAAAAAAAAAAAGAATCGGCCAATAGAAGATCACATGGCCTTATTGGGAAAAAACTGTTCATTTAGGCCTTATATAGGGATCTTGATTTGGCTACGAATTCCAGTAAACATGTCCATTTATGGCAATCTACGTCACCACCACGGCGACACACTTCCGGTGACCAGACGAACTTGAAGGAAGTAACCTTGTGGGCAGCAATATTTTTCCAAAGTTGGTACCCCCGCGTGCATGCGCAGCCATGGGGTGCAGACACCGCCAGTGCCCGGCTGGAGCGAATAGCCGCACCCGTAAAGGTGGCGCTGCCATCCACCAGCGGTGGCGATCAAATCAACTACCAAAACAGAATCGAGTCTGCCACCAAGTGCGCCGAGTGTGTCGATGAAAGCTGCAGAATTCTATCGCGCTGGGCCGGGCAGAAAAATTGTGGCGTGACGAATCACGCGTCGTTGTAGCCGCCCCAGTACGTCCAGACATTGAAGAACCAGGTAAGCTGACAGCAATTTTAGGCTGAATTGCAATATTGCCATGTAGAGGTAGGCGGTTATCTTCCGTGGAAACGAACAGCGTAGTTCGTTGTGACCTGTTAAAATGGGGTTGTATTGGGACGCCGTCACAGCTTTGAAAGAATACACAATGTGCGTACAAGGTAGGTGTTAAGCAGGCCTTACGAATGTGCTCAGTTTACAGGAAACAGCCGATACTTGTGTCATATTACCAGTTACTAGAAAGTCAATGCGTCAAGCCCGGCTAGCTCGGTCGGTAGAGCATGGGACTTAATCTCAAGGTCGTGGGTTCGAGTCCCACGCTGGGCGGTGAAATTTTAATAAAGTACGTTCTAATACAATCGAACGTTGTATCAGTTCTCGTAGTAAGAATCACGAATATGCTGAAAATCCATTTAACGTATAAAAGAAATAGCAAATGGTGAATGTGATTTTAAAAATATTCTTTATATTGCCTTTAATAAATAGTATGTAGATTACGCAACTATTTATTAAAAGTCATTTAATACATTCAGATTTGGCTCCAAATTAACTTCAGTTTGTATCGATTAAATTGATTGAATTGTGTATGACGTCACATGGACGTAAAGTCGCGGCCATCCTGTCCTGCGCATCATCCAATGCCCCGAATTCCTTCAAAGTTTATCGTTTTCAGATTTTATATTTTCTTGATTTAATTTTTTAGCTTCCAGTCAAATTTATTCTGTCAATTATCCAGTCAATTATTCTGACGTTATTAAAGGATATTGTGGCATAATTGCAGAACAACGAGAGTACTATTTAAAGGTATAAAACATTATTTACAAATATCCTGCACAAATCAAATGTACGATACAAAAGGAATATAATATATTGTATGTATCGCATTATATGATGCGAAGGAGAAAATTATTGCCACTTTACGTCCATGTGACATTATACAAAGTTCAATCAATTAAATTTGATACAAATTGAAGTTAATTTGAAGCCAAATTCTATTGTGTGAAATGACCTTTACTTAACAGTTGCTGCAATGTACATGCTTTTTTTTTAGGGTAATTTGAGCAAGAATATTTTTAATCATCTTCACCATTTGCAACTTGTTCCTATGTAAAATGCATTTTAGACACATTTAGGTTTTTCAGTAGTAAATCAAGCGACGCGATCAAATAAATTAAGCACAGTTCATTAAAACATGCCGCCCAGCGTGGGGCTCGAACCCACGACCCTGAGATTAAGAGTCTCATGCTCTACCGACTGAGCTAGCCGGGCTTGACGTAGTACTGCCTTAGTTAACAGCAAAATTAGGTAAAGGTTGTGCATGGTGAATTGAACACTTTCGGAAGTCGTAGTGCTCGACTTAAGACCTACTTGTATGAATATCGTGTACTCTTCCGCCATATTAACATTATCATCGGTCTGATTGCTTTATTCGGGAACCGAACCAGTTCCGGCTTGGTGAGAGACGATTGCTCTAGCCACTGTGTCAACCACGGCCCCTTCCAGTTGAGCGCCTTAAGCGATTTTCACAATACAGCGTCGCGATGCGGCGTTTCGCCAGCGACGATCGTATTTGCGTACTCACAACAGAGCGATGGTCTGACGCCGGCCGCCTGCGACACAGATCGTGCTGCCATGTGTTATGCTACAAGGAAGCTCGCAATGCATTTAGTTATATACACTTTTATTTAATAAAAGTATTATATTAAAATTAAAAATAATGTTGTTGGACATGAACGACTCTTCAGGCATCGGAAAAAGGTAGGTAAAATTGATATAAATTGGACTCCAATTAATATCTTTGCAAAACGTTTGTAACGTATATTTTCATTTGTTCTTTATCTCAGCTTCTAGCCAGTTCATTTATTATGAAGTACAGTAATGTTATTCTTCTTATTCCCCGACGCTCGCGACGAGCGGTCAAAACCAATGATCGTCGCTCGTGCAACGTTCTCGACGCTCGACTCTAGCATCAAGGCTCTGATTGGCTGATACTCGACGCGACGCGTCGCAACGCTCTATTGTAAAAATCGCTTTAAGCTGGTTCCACAATACAGCGATGCACTGCGATGCGATGCGCTGCGATGAACTGTAGCCAATCAGTATAATGTAGATTCCGTCGCAGCGCGCAATTCTGCCGTTGCGATTTTCGGCGATAGCCTGCGACGGAGAAGAAGAAGAAGAAGAAGAATATGAATTATTTGTTTACGCTTTGAAAACGGCGATTGTGTTCACGCCGCCGTCTTTACGTTTGTATTTTTATTGTTGCTGCATGGATGTACAAAATAGAAGACGAAGCATCTTATACATGTGGACAATGTCATAAAAATCGTTCATTAACGAAAAATTTAATTCTCCTTCATCTTACTACGTCTCTCATCCTCACTAGTTTTCATCTCACAACGCGTTCACGCACTGTCTAACATATTTTCTACCAACTTACTTAATAGATAGTGGCAATGTTTTTCGCGCGCCTTTTGTAACATTCGTGAAAATGTAATTTTCACCCTTGAAATGGATAGCAGCACCATCTCAGACGGAGTCCGTCGCCGACTGACCATCACCCAATTGTGAAACAGTATGTATACCTAGCTCGTCGCAAACGCGTCGCACCGCAGTACTGTGGAACCAGCTTTACGCGTAGAGGCGATGAGCCGAGTGAGTAGTCAGTGAGCAACAGTCGACCTTACAGCGTGCACGTTTCGATTTTCGAATGCGCAGAATGCCTAGACGCAGGCCAGGTTCGATTCCCGACACGTCCATCCTGAATTCTGTTCGCAATGTTTTCCCCGAAATCAGACAACGGTTCTTTGACACAGGCTATGCTCGATTTTCTTCCTACCCTGACTGTACGACGTGTGTGTATGTATGTGTGTGTGTATATATGTATATGTATATGTATATATGTATATGTATATATGTATATGTATATATATATATATATATATATATATATATATATATATATATATATATATATATATATATATATATATACACGTCTTGTACTGGAATGTTCATATCTAAAAATTATGGTATATATATATATACCATAATACTGAAACATAAAATAAATCCTCTATAGGAACTTCGTTCAATGCTGGGAGTGGGTCTGCTAAGCTAAAGTGGACAAAGGTAAAACCAGAAACGTTTTATTAAAAAAAAAAACCGTCCAACGTGTCTGAGTGAGGTCTGCTTCCGAACAGTAATTAAGAAACATTACGCGTCTCTTTACGTTTCTCAGTTTCTCCATTTCTCTCTAAAGCATGTTTTCGTGATAGCTCAAACTGGTGTTTCCCGGTCATTTTTAGATATGAACATTCCAGTACAAGACATAGGGACGTGCATCAAACCTTTATGTTTATTATTACATCATAACATGGCAGCGTCTCTTCTGAAAGTCCCCTACACGCGCGTTATCGACGGCAAGACTGCACGCCGGCTTAATGCTTTGCGCGTAGAGGCGACGAGAGAGTTGATGCGCGTGTCTCGGTCGCCTCTAGCGCTCCCACGCTTCTGGGCCTCAGGCGTGCAGAATTCCTTCAACCAGGCGGCCACCTTAATATATATTAATCTGTCGTTTGTCTGTTTTAGCGCGTGACGTCGTTCGATCATAGAGGGAAATAAGCCGGAAAGCATTGTGTAGCGGGCTCCAGGGGACCCGAACGCGACAAGCTTAGGTACGGTGCACTATAGGTTCCAGTGGCGGCCCCCTGTTTTGATAACAAGTCTGGTTGACCCAGTGAAGAAAGAGTACGCCCCCCTTCCCCCCCCCCCCCACTGGCAGACGACGATGTGTGAGGCGACAACGTTAGCGTCAGTGTGAAGTCTTACTGGTGAGCATAAGTCCGGATAGGCGGTAGAGTGGCATTCCCTTTATCGAGACCCCGCAATTAAAGAGTAATAATCACGTGGCTAGGCTAGGGCATAGTGCGAAGCTATATTCTAGTATTCTTATAAATTACCAACATTCGTGTATATCAGTTCATGGCAGTATAGTTGTTCATCGGTGTTGCATCCTCGGGGAACCTGTCAAGTGTTTGTCTGAGGGAGTAACGTGAAGTAGTATTGTGAGGAGAGAGTCATTCTGTAGTAGTGTTTCACGTATTGTTTTTTATATCACGTAGAGTTGTAATAAATGAGTATTGTAGCATTCCCTCTTTTATTCAGTAGCCCTAGTGTTCAGTATTTCCCATGTGCGTACCTGCCTAGTCTCCGAGTAAGAGAGGAACGAGGAGAAAGGATAGAGACAGGAGTAGTAGCGGAAGTATTATGGAGAGATAGGCAGGAGGTAATAGGCAGTTTCATCTGCAGTGTACATGGGTCGTGCATTCTGAACTCGCTGGTACATTAATGTAACAGGCAGGGCCTCCGGGCCGTCAAACACGCGTGGTCGAGCACTCCTTCCCATGCGGCTTCACCCGCCATGCGCGGGATTTACAAGCAATTAGTGGGCATGTTTGTCCCCGAGGCTATCAGATAGGGCACTAGGGCTCAGTTGTATTACACACTCCCCCCCCCCCCTTATAACACCATCTCTACTACCACTATTCGTGAGTGAAGAAGTTTGGGCGGCTCTTAAAAGGGGGCTAGTATCCACTCCATCTTCGAATTTTCTTATAAATCTTCGTAATGAAAATGGAATAAAAAAATCAAAGCAAGACATTACATAGAAAATTACTTAACGAAATTTTTTGTAGGGTTTCAAACATACCTGTATTTTCCCACGTGGGACTGAAATTATTGAATAATTAGGTAATGTTTGATTACGGTTACAGACGTGAAACTAATCGTGTAAGAAAAATAAGTGGGAGTTCGAAATAACTGTTAAAATGTTCTCTGTGTCTTGACTAGCTCGGTTTTTAAATATTGACACCGAAAATTAAGTTAATGAGGAAAATACGTAAATCCAAGATTGCAAGGATAATTCCCCCTTAAGGTGGGTCAGTCCCCGCCATCTTGGGCATTTATAATTTTCGCAAAAACTTGAATTGTAGATTTTACATAGAATTTTACATAACGACACGACAGAAGGCATCCCTTTATACATCTTCTGAAGTTGGTATTGCTTGATTATTGTGGTTAGTTTAACTGCTGTATTCGCCTGCAGGAAAAAATAACTTACTTCTTCCCAGCGGTTATTAGTTGAAAATTCATAAAGGCAGTGAAAACATGACAACTTGGTAAAGCTCGAGAAGGAATTATTCATGCTATGTCGTACGAAAAAAATGTCGTTGAACCAACTTAAATGTAAGTTGTGGCGAAATATGGATAAATTTAAGGTGGCGGGAACTGATTCCCCATACCATCGAGGTTTTGAGAGCCGACGC